GACGAGGTGAAGTTTGACACGGTTCTAATAGAAACTCCATACTGCTTATCATTCAGTCGGAAAAGATTTTCGATCACAGTGGCGAACCTTTAACAGGCATCGTAACCTAAGGTATAGGAAAGGCTAACACCCGACGAACAGTGAACAAATAAAAAAGTTCTGCTCATTTGCTCCCTTTTAAGGGAGCTCCAAAGCTGCAGAATAATCCGCTTGAAATGTCGTCTATAACACACAGAAGTAGACGACTAAAAACGCTAAGAGAAATATGTGTCAGACATCAGTAAAAGACTCAAACCATTATCTATAAGTGACATTGAGAAACGAGAACAATAAAAGGATATCTCATTCTTCTCATCGCTCCCATGCGACTTACTTTTACTTTCTTTGCATCACAATCAACTAATTCCTTCATGATGTTGTGATCCAATGCATTAGAACAAGCATGCGTATGTATACTTAAGAAGTGTTAACCTTTATTGAACTGTCTAATCGATTAAAGTAAGTCCTGAAAGTGACCAGTCTATCCTTATAGGACACTGTCAAAGATCTTGGACCTTACTATGAAATTGATAATTAAGAATAGGGTTACTTGATGTAGAATCCTTTTTGAATGCTTTGTTTTTTGGAAAATCCCTCCATGTTTACATATTTTTGTTATGACATGACGGACTTTTTCTGTTGACATTTTTGGTATTTTATTTGATTCCAATTTGAGATTTTATCATTGTATATTGTTATTATTTCTATATTTTGTACTTATATTGAAGTTTTTGTGTTTGCTTCTGATCTGTATATATGTTGTTTAAATTTGATCTTTAATATGGCTACAGCCATATTTGGATTGATACAGTGTCCGCTGGACTTAACGTCACTTATCTCCTAGAACTTTTGTCCTTTTTTGATTTGTTTGGACCTGGGACTGGGAGAATCGAGTACAGGAGTGCACCTTTTGGAACCCATTGGAACGGCCACTGTAGAAATCCATTTACAGTCTGGAATTATCCATCACTTTTGATTAGAAGACCAATTACAGTTGGATTATTAAGAATTATAAAGAAACATTTGGAAATTTAATCGTTTATCACACTAAACTTCTTGATAAAGGAATCTTGGATTATTTATCGTATTTTCGTATTCAAATTGTATCTTGGATGACGAATTTTTGATTTTGGACATCTCTTATTGAACTTATCTGTGGAATTCCTATATTTTGTATTTGTTATTTATCTTCCGTTGAACTTCACTTATAATGTCAAGTCGCAAGAAATCAAACACCAGGAGGGTGGAAGAGCTTGACGGATCCCGAAACGCTAAGCAAGTCGTTATTGATACTTTTTTAATGGGTAACCACTCCGATAACACTGATGTTATGTCTGATACTTATTATTGTATCAGCGCGACTTGCTGAAGACGTCATCCTTTCACCCCAAAGACCGTCGGTCAAACTGTCCCCGTCGGTTTGCATCAGGCATGACAAGACGTGGCCGGTACTGGCGGCGGCCAGGGCTACACCACCATTGTAGTTCGTGGCGTACCCGAACTCGCTGACGGTAACCTGGACGAAGTTCACGTGCACGATGTGCAACAGTGGCGATGGCTATCGCGTAGCCTAGCCCTTCGCACCACGATGGCTGTTGGCATTTCTAGGTTGCCTCCCTCTTCACACCTTACGTCCATCAAGTCACCACGTCTGATGGTTGTGACATTTAGGAACTGAGAAGACCTGATTGAGGCACTCCAAGCTTTGTACAGTTCAAAGAACGATCTGCCTAACCACATCAGGTGTTGTGCAGGCCAACCTAGATCTGTGAGACAACAGCAGAGAGGCCACAATGAATGCACAAAACTGACAGTTGACCTCGGTCAACAACCCCTGGCACAAGACGAGATTAAACTCACTGCACAGGCGAAAAACCTGAAGAGGCCAGTTTCCACAGAACTGGCCAACTCGGTTTGAACTTGTTTGAAAATTCGACAACGACTGTTGCTACAGAAGTGCAACAGGTGCTGAGACAAACCACGAAGTGCCTCTATAGCAACGTGAGAGGACCAAGGGATAAGCTGTTAGAAATCAAGAATTTGTGCTCTCAGATGGATCTGAGAAGAAGAATGGCTGTTCCCTAATATTGCAGACTACAAAGTGAGCTTGCCAGGCATGAAACTCTTCCGAAGTGATAGGGTACACCAAACAGGAGGCAGAGTGACTATATATATGAACAGTCACTTAAAAGCCCAGGGGCTATACGACACCCAACTGGGGTGACAGAATCATGTTGATGTTGTTTCCACACAAGTGGCACGAAATACTTGATTGGAGGGATTTAACGACCTCCCTCGGGTACTGAGGCCTAGAAAAACAAACCGACTGGGGCAATACTGAAACTGCAACTCCTGGGGTTTGATCAACTACTCTTAGCTGGAGATTTCAATACCCCTTCTCTAAATCCCAGAAATCAGGATACAACTCCCACTGGTTGGTTCCAAAGACGATTTGGAGCAGCCATTAGAAGCTCTGGGCTGACTGAGCACGTATGCAGTGCCACTAGATGGACTAAAGAGGGAAAGTCCTCAAACCTGGATTATCTTTTAACAAATGACCAGCTCCTGGTTGAGGATGTTCACTTGCATACACCAATAGGTAGTAGTGACCATGGCACAGTCTTGTTTAACATGTTCATAAACGAAACACTTACACAGGACGAAAACAAGCCCTATTTTTGCTACACTAGGGCAAATTATACGCGTATGAGAGAGGTCCTCCTACATGCTCCATGGCCACGGGAGGGGTGGAGGCTGACAGTAGATGATCACTGGCAAAGAGTCAGAGGTATCATAAAAAAGGCTGTCGTAGACAATGTACCTCAGTCACACCACACACGCGGGAATAGAAGAACCTGGGTTAGGCGCGGCACTGAACGCTTGCTATAGGCGAAGAGGAGGGCCTGGCACAAATGGAAGGTCTCCTTGAAGGATTCCGATCTCAGTTCTTACTTGGCATTGAGAAACAGATGCAATACCAAAGTTCGAAGTGACAGGCGACAATTTCAGATGAAGCTAGCTACCAAAATACAGGCCAACCCGAAGCATCTATTTAGGTTCATGTCCGAAAGAAAACCTACTAATCAAGAGTTGCGTTCTCTCAAAGGACCGAACGTGGAAGACCTCACCAACCTAGAGCTGGCCGAGATCTTCAACACTAACTTTACTGAGCAGTTAAACCAGGCACCCACATGTACAGAGTACTACGCAAACTCAGAGCCAGCTGGCGGCTTAGGGAACATCCGTATCACTCCTGACTTGGTACTAAGTAAACTAAAATCCTTACGCCCAGGTAAGTCACCAGGGTGTGGCAAAATTCGCCCCATAGTCCTCTGTTCACCGACATGTGACCTGTTCAGGCATTCACTGGAGTCACACCAACTCCCAGCTGAATGGAAACAAGCTACTCGCTCTCCAATCTTCGAAGCTGGAGATAGAAAAGACCCAGTCTGTTACAGACCAGTCGCATTACTACCAATACTATCAATGGACTGGTGGACGCACAAATGCGAGAGTACATGGAATAAAACACTCTGTGAAGCTCAACACGGGTTTCGGAAAGGCCGTTCGTGTGCATCGAATCTTTTCATAGCAAGGGGCAGTTGGACATCCTGCATGGACCGTAAAATACCGGTGCACGTAATATTTCTCGACTTTGCAAAAGCCTTTGACACAGTACCCCACGCATGCCTAATCGTGAAGGAACTGGGCTTCACTGACACATTCGCATCTTGGCTCAGAAACTGTTTTGAGAATAGAAAGTTTCGTACCAGGTTAAATAATAGTGCGCACGCAAGCTGGCGAGTATCAACAAACGATCTAGTCCCTCAATGGAAGTCCGCTCCCTAATGTCTCCTCAGAGCCCGATCTCGGTTTAATAACCACAGAAAGCCTCCACACGAGTCCACACTATGTAGGGGACGCAGCCAAGGCAAATGCGACTCTTCACTTTATGCGATGACAACTTGGTGCTACCACCCCGCAATTATTTTGAACCTATTTAAGACTTACGCGCGCCCACACCTAGAGGTTTACAATGGCATCGCATTACCTCTGCTCAAAAGAGACGTAACTCTCTTGGATCGAGTGCAGAGACGAGCAACCAAATGGGTGATAGGGTTGAAAAATAAGCCTTACGAAGATAGACTCCAGCGCTAGGGATTATTTCCAATGAGCTGCAGGAGAATCAGAGGTCATCTGATTTTGGCGTATAACATATTAAGCACACCAAACCATTCCAACGTGAGCATCTCACCGATGCACCACAACCACTACCCTGGAGGCAATCCTCGAAAGATTTCACATCAAAGAGCGAATACTCAGATTCGTGCACACTTTTCTCATTGCGAGTCGTCGCAACTTGGAATGCCCTACCAGCCGAGGTGACCACAGCCCGTCAGTAGACAGCTTTAAGAAGATACTTGGTAGTTACGTACTCACATACGGACTATCATCGCCCTCCTCGACAAGCTGTTCATGATGCATATCTTGAGACCTGCTAGTTGTTATCACTGCCATCTCCTCAGATCACTTACTTAATCTATCTCGCCTATTATCTCTGTTCCCTCTCTCTTGCTAAAACTTCGGTCCTCTCTCACGATCATCACTACCAATTAATAAACTAAATCATCTGTATATTACTTAGTTCTGAAATTTTATTAATTTTACCATTAGAATTTTATACTTATTATCCTTATTACTCTCCACATTGCAACTAGCTGATCTCCGTTTTGGTAATGTGATAGCTGTTGGTATCCAGTAACCCTACTGCCCTGAAACAAACGTTTTCATACAAATTCCGAGACATACAAACTCACAACCAACTGCCAACTGACTAGAATTAGACAGTCGACCGTACCAAAAGAACAAGAATCGAGCGCAAAGAAATAAATTGGCTTATACTAGCTCGTGAAGAAGATATTAGATATTGGATATTGGAAATGTATAGGACGTTATTTGTGCCGCATTACTTAACATTGTGCGTTTCGGCTGGGGTCGTTTTGAGATGCAAGTTGTTATAAGTAACACCGGATTACCCTTTGGAACTCACTGTTACATTATGTGGTCAGTTAGGTATTAAAAAGTTTTCCATTCTATTGAGATGTGCACTTCAAAGATCGTCGCAAATTAATGACGGCTTAATTCTTAGACTCAAAATAATAACATTTGTTTAGTTTTAATTTCAACTTTGGACATGTATGTCGTAAAATGTAGGCCAGCCAGTAATTGCACGCGTGTTTGCACTTGATTGTTTCAAATCAAGTGTGTGTTAACGAGGTATTGTTATAAATAGAATATATCACAGGATTCGTACTATTTAGTTAGGGAGACTTGTTCTAAGTTGTACTCTGCGTGAGTATTTCAGGTTCAATGATTTGATTAACCAATAGGCGGAAGAAATAGCTATAGCTTCTCCACATACTGTGCTACTAGCCGCTTTGTTCACAGATAGTATTAAATTTAAAATTCAGAAACTGAATTTTAAAAACGTTTTGTTTATGTGTTCCAAGGAGGATGTGCGATAAAAAGTCTGAATTACAATATTCCAGATAATTCGTATTAGTCATCTTAACTTATGGTGGCGTAAAGACATGGATCAAAACTAACATTCCTTGGTGTCCCACGTTTTACGAGAAATAATAGATTGATGCCGAGGTCCACATATAGAAGACTTACGGGAAAAATAAGTGATGATCATTGATGAAAAGGGTGTGACTTATCACATTGTTGGTAATCTTCATTGGTATATGCGCATGATGTACATATTGCTTCTGTAGAACTTTTCACAAGTTTTTGTGAGGATAAATGCAGTTGTGGCTAGAGGTGAGATCCGTGGTTCACATTTCCTCTCGATGCAAACATAACTAAAATACAAAACTTGTCTCTCAGATTACACTGCTAACGGCACACTCGTCTCTGCTGCAAGAATTGTTAGCAAGTTTTCTTAGTTGGGTTACAATAATTAGAAAACAAAATCTCATTCGTCTCTTATGCTTGTGATGTGGTAAGGTTTGTCCATTAGATTACCAAGTGGGTAAAATATCCTCATGCAAGACAAATATCCTTTAATATTCATCGAAAACATAATAAATAAAAACAGGCTTCACAGACTAAATATCCTTTTAATAAAACTCATAAATCTCCAGTATGGGAAAGTTGTTGATAGTGATGTATTAAAAAGACCGTCGGGGAAGCTACTTCGAAATGCGTTTAAGCAATAGATACTTGTGAAACCTATTATGGTCACTGTCATATGTCTCCATTAGGAATTTAAGCTGCCTTGACTGACTGATATACGTTTCCAAGTTCACCAACTCCTATGGATCTGGTTATGTAGATCTTTTGTTCAGGCTTCTTCGTCTTCCCATTTGGGGGCGTTTGTTAGTATAATTGAAAAAGATAGAATGCAGGCTAATTAAAATATTTATTTTTTAGCATTTAGAAGACACCAAACATTCAGGTTCATAATCTTTCATCATTCATTAAATCAAGTCACAGGTGTCGAGAGGGATGCCCGTAAACTTATTTTATATTTCAGGAGCTCTAATCACTCGTGGTTTGTTGTTTGCACGAAAATAATTGGTGGGACGTTTTTCTTCGCTGATGAAGCAACGTCAGAAAATGCGATTCCTTGGTAACCTATCACTAAAGACGTTTTCATACACCATTTTTTCCTTTGCAAACTTAGTGTCCGTGTTCAATATTAGATTAAGACAGCTTTCAACTCTCCTAGGTAGATCCTATATATCCACCTATTCAGTTTAACCACATGAAGTTAACTCTTCATCATCTCACCTCCGTAAACAACCACTTGCTAGAAGGCAGGGAATAGGACTTCTCTGGAAGCATCTGTAAACACATAGGCATATGAGAGCACTTTGAGGAGAAGGGGCTCTCCACAGTCTGTATCAGGACATGTAGGTGTCTCTCTAATCTCCCTAGCTTAGGTTTGTGGTTTCATACTTGTTTACATGTTCTTTACATGTTTAATTTCCACATTAAAAAATGGTTCTGTTTTGTCACTTTTTATGATTGTAATATTGTTCTAGACCGGTTTTTCGATAACTTCACACATCTTCATTCCAACCCAGTGACATGTATAGTTGCCCTGTTTATCTTAATGATCTTATATTTCTCGTCTTTCGTTAACTTCCTCCCATAGCTACTTGTTTTTTTTCAGGTAAACTACAGAGTTAACTTCTACATAACGAACAAAATCCTATCAAACATTATTCGGCACACTATAGTTTATCATATATATAATTGTATACTGTTGGATATGAACTTATTGGAAGGAATCACTTATCTTTAACACTCAAATCCCAGATTTTAGGCTTCTAGAAATGTCTACATTTTATGAAAGTCCTCTTGCGACAGTCACAGAGGAATCAGTTTAACTAATGCAGTGTCTGAATTGTTAGCTTCGATAATACTTCGACGCCCAACTAGAGCTCATGAAGAGCAAACTTGAGAAAACCAGGCTGTTTTCACGCCTATGCGTGGATGTATGCACTAAATATACACACTTCGACAGGTCCTAGGACACAGACACATTCAGACGTCCCACAATAGTTATATTGCTTGACTTTGATGCAGCATTTGACTCTGTTGGTCGTGAGTTTCGATGGCAGTTTCTCCATCTTTATATAAACTTGTTATTGACATGGTTTTGGAGATGACGCTTTTATCATCTGACTTTTCGAGAGTTAATCTTTTACCAGGAGACTCGGTTATTAACTTAGAATATGCCACCCTAAGCAATAATACAAGCATATACAAGATGCGGTTCTTCCCATCGAAATTCAGTGTTGCTTCAGGATTAACTTGCGTTGGCGCCTAAACTAGTAATAGGGAGTGAAGCAGTTGAGCATGTTGACCACTTCACTTGGGAGTCTCATCAGTGCTGATAGCCTGGTGTGTGACCAAGTCTCAGAACAGATATACCCAGTGTTGGTGTTAGGAAACGCGTACTGGGCAAGGATGGCAGATCAATAGATGAAATAGTGAAACTTCATCAGTTGAGGTGGTTGGGACATGTATTACGAATAAACAACCACTGACTGTCTCGGCAAGCGATTATGCCTGGTGTAGGGGTCGGTTGAAAGAAAGCTAGGGGTAGCCAGACGAAAACACGGTACAAATCCGTGAAGTTACTGACAACTGAACTGAGCTATGTTAGTAGGTGTAAACTACTAGGTTGTGTCTGTGAGCCAGTGGTAACCAGTGTTTAGGAAGTTTAGATGACATGGCTCAAAATCGTTTGCAATGACACAGGTGCATTGATTCTTTGTGTTCCCTCAAATCCTAATCTTCTGAATTCCTCATAATCGGTTTTATTGGGTTATACTTCTCAAATCATATCTTCGATCCCTATTCACTTTTATTACTGCTAATACTCCTACTACAACTTCTACTACTATGGGATTTGAAATGGCAGTCCAATCTCTGTGCTAATGTGGTATAGCAACTTGAACTGATGTACGTACATATGAACTTCTACGATGCAGCTGACTGACTGAAGTGTACCTTCTGCCCTTAGAAATCTAAGAGGTTTGAAAGTTTGTTGAGGAATCATAAAGTTGTACGTGTTTTCTTTGTAATACCGATCAAAGAGTATGTCGATCAGACTATTTATTATTGCTAAGGTTAAACGTCACTGAATATGACCCTCGTGCTGTTAAACCGAGTTTTAACCAATGATAACATTCACAACTTAGTATTTATCATTTTAAAAGTAATCGAAATCAAACGTGTGTGCATAATAGTCTTCTGATAAGCCATAGATTCCTCTTTCAATTTTTCTGAGAAATTTTCGTCATCTTTGTTTATAAAACATTCAGAGTAGTTGCAGAAGTGACGAGTGAAGTAATCCATGATTAAAGTAATGAATCCCCAACTCTTTTCGTCAACCTGTACAATACGGTGACGCGACTAAGTTGTCTATTTTGAATATTCTTTTCATCATAGGATTATGGGGATCGGTTAGTTTTTACTAATATCACTAATCGATCAACGTTCGACCACCGTTAGAAAACCGGAAGCACCGGACGTACGTTTCGTCCTAATATATGACTCATCTACAGTGCGCATCCACAACCCTCGCTTAAGGAAATCGGATATACGAAAACGGGATGGAATTTTGTTCTAGCTATAATCTTTAGTAGGAAAATTAGGTGTCTTGTGTTGTTTTGTCCTCATGTAACGTCCCTTTCATTTTAAAATCCTATAAAAAGCTTTCGCTGTGATCTAAATAAAATGATCCCCTTTAGTAATTAGATGCTATCCACTATTGCTATTTGATTTCTATTCGAAAACTAATAAACACTCTTGTTTCTAATAGTCTCGATAGTGTAGTTATAGTTAAACCCATTTGTTGATCATTTTGCTGAAGAATTAGATTAACTTTGCCATCACTGTCTAATCTGAAAGATTATATAATATTAGCTATCATTTTCTAGTTTCTTAGATATAGTGACGTAAATGAAAAATTTGCATTGAGTTCTTATTTACAAGTAAAAGCGCTAGTTAAATTCTTTGTGTATTTTAACCTTTGAGGGCTCTCCTATATACCTAGAGTCTCGTTCTATAATCCTCGAACCTAATCAACAATTACATTCAGGGGGTTTGTGAGGCTGAATGTTGTGTGTCTGTTTGTTTTTTATTGTTTGCTGTGTAATTGTTGACTACAAAGTATTCGTGAATAGGTATAATATGTCTCGCCAATATACCAACAAAACCAAATATTTTGAGAAAACATTCTTAATGTTGGTTAAGCTTTATAAACTCAAAGTTATAATCACTGGGTCAATGGAAATTTGTCACACAGAGCATTTGCTAACTACGACATGGAATCTCCTCTTCTTAGTAGCCCTCAACCTTTTCGATACTAAATCGGTTTATAAAATAAGAGCTTAGAGGAGTGATCCGTAAATTTTTATTATCATAATCAAAAATAAAGACTTATTTAGTAAGGTAATATAATTCATCGTAAAGCATTTTTGAATGTCGAGAAGTGCATTCGCCAAAATTCATTTTTAGGCAGGATGTGGTTTCGTTACATTGCGGCTTAGTTCTTAGGTGATAGGTAACAAGTACCACTAACGTCAGCTGTTTATAAACAGTTTCAAAGATATCACTTTAGTGAAGTTCAATTACTATTAGTACAATTGAATACAAATTTAAAATCAGCTCGATGAAGGTTGATTAAAATATTAAGTCTCTTGTTTTTAGCCAACTGTACGCCGCAAAAATCGATATATTTTTGAAGTCATTCTCCAGTTTTGCTCTGAGTTCGGGACTCAGAGGTTATGTCCAATGTTTATTGCTGAGTATGAGGTTTATATAACATTCAGTTCACTAACATGGACGTGTTTGAATCAATTACGTAGGACCATGTAAATGTATGTGTCACTTATCTGATCAAAGATGTTTGACCTTCCTTCAGAAATATTCACACTACGATAAGATGACTGTATTCTCTACGTAGGGACCCAGTACTTCCCAAACTACTAAAATTGCAAGTCAGTCTCAATCTCAAATATTTTTCTCCATCCACCGTAGTTATTTTTAAAGTTTTTCGTATCGAAGTACTTAGTGTTGACCAAATTTCTTTTTTAGATGAGCTTTAAATCTTATCGATTTCTAATATAAATGTCTGAAATTGCAACACATCGAACACCAATTAGCATCTTGCAAGAGGTGTGTGTGAAGAAAGGAATAACTCCTATCTATGAACTTGTATCAAGTGAAGGACCGATTCATGATCCACTCTATGTATTCTTATGTACAGCTGGTCCTTTCAGTGCCACCTCTAAAGGTAACTAGTTTATTTAACCGTTTAATTTTCCAATCAGGAGCAAGTAAGAAGAGAGCCAAACATCAAGCATCATACTTGATTTTGCTTAAGATGCTGAACAGTCGGCTGTTGACAGAGTCGGAAAAATATGCTCTGCGGGATGTACATATTGCCGCGGTCAACGTTTTAGGATCTGACTTTATGGATTCGCTTGATGATGCAGAACTTGACGGTCTACCAAATAAAATTAAGCAGGAAGAGGAAGGTAACTTCGTCGGACGACTACAAGAATTGTGTCAAAAAAATGCATGGCCTCCACCATCCTATGAATTCTTAACTACACCACAGTCTGTTCCATCAGGTAATGAATACAGTTGCAAAATCAGGCTGTGGAAATGGACTCACACAGGTAAAATTGAAATTTTTTGTTAGAAAGCTACAGGTTTTGGAAATTCTAAAAAATCTGCAAAACGGCGTGCAGCCCTTGGACTTCTAGAAAATATTATCAAAAATAACCTGACCATACCTCAAGAGGCTTTGGATGATATGGAAGAAGAAACCCTTTCTTTGGTGAGTAATCGATGTTCTAATCTAGTAAAAAATAGCTTGACAAAAGGGACCAGCCTAATCAAAAGGAAAATAAATTAGAAAATGAAGCAACTGCTCGTATTTCTTCTAAAGCTCTTCGTGGTTTATGGAACGGAAAAGGTGGAAAATTACATGTCCCACCTATTGACGATCGTGATAAGATGAATAATCCATGTGAATATCTCCAGGAAATTTGTGAATCTGCAAAAATCACTGTTGTATATTCATACTTTCCTGCAAACAGTCAAGGTATGCTATTTGTTCATCTAGTTTTCAAAATTATTTGTTTCTGATCAAATTACGGTAAGTTTTGTTAGGGAATAGTCTCTACTGACTTGATAAATTATATATTGACGATCCATGTATCAAGAAAGGATATATTTTCCAAATCAATAAGTTCGGATGCATGGAAGTATTAACAAGGTGGTTCCAACTAATCACTGTATTTCTTACAAGTTTGTCGATTTGGAACGTTGTTTGTGTGGCTTTTGCAGTTACGCTACAAAACACCCTCTTAATAAACTTAGGGAACACTATAACAACAATACAATACATCTATTTGGCGTGTAAACGACATCGAATTACAGGTAGTTTAAGCCACCTAAAAAAAACTAAATATCACAAGTTAAACTCATCTAGAAGGAATAAGAATTATTCAGACGGTTGTGATTTTTGAAGTGGCACATTACAACCACCTATAAATGTTTGGAATTTCTCGGTGAAATTTCAGCTGATAATTCGCAAAAGTATCTATATGAATTACAAAAAAAGGTATTTAAACAATTTAAAAGTAACTGCTACTGACTCCTATCAAAGAACTCACGTGTTCGATATTGAATCACTAAATACTAACATTTTAAAATAAGAATATTTGAATAAAATCAAAATATTAATTCCTTCCACTTAATTAGTGTGGCAGCGTAAGTTATTAAGAGCTATGGAGTTTACCCTCGAAAGTGACCTATCATCAAACATCAGTAAGATAATTAGTAATCCGTGTTACATGATCCGCTACTGTGTTTGATAAATTCTCACTTTAAATTCCATAAAAATGACTAAATACCCATTGATGTATGGCTTGTATTTTAAATGGCGATTAGCAAAATGTCCGGTTAGTGAATCTGAATATTAATTGGTTATTCCACATCATTAAATTGGTAAATTAATACTGACTAGTTTATATTTTTTTAGGGATGATCTACTGCTTTGCTGAACTTTCTACACTACCACCGCATGTAATCAAGAGCCAATTATCATCAAATTTGGAAAATGCACGTAAAGATGCTGCTCGCAGATGTATACTATTTTTAAAGGCTATGTCATCTACAACACCTTGCCTTAACTACAGTCAATGGTTTGCTGCTTCCCATGATAATAATGATTTGCAATAGATTTAAGTAATTGCTTTTACATATATACATACGTCTGTTACATGCATTTACTTTTCTTGGTTTTAATATTGTTCATGAGTATCAGAATCAAAAGGATTTAGAGGGATGGAAATGAGTGTATCTCACGTTGTAGAAACATATGATGATCCTTAAGGTTTACTCCAACGTTTTTCTGCATTTGCATAACTATGTATGCTACAAACATAATGTGATCTTTAAATATTGTTTCATAATGTAGCTCGACAATCCAAAAAGCGAAACAAAAATGCTAGCGAATATATATTTGTAAGCAAAGATAAATACTCAAAGTTGAAGAAATAAATACAGTTTCATTTTACAATTTTGATATTTGAATTTGGTCGATGTGCCATTTTGGTTACTCTCGCCATGGCTATTTGCCTGTCATCTACTTTCCCCTTCTTTTGAGGATTAAACTGTTTTGATCTTATCCTCATTAACTTCCGACGATGACGTCGACGGTCAGCAAGAGTGCGTTCATTCCTACCGATAAGGATTTCACCCCTTGGTGGACAGATCTCCTCTGGAGCTAGAAGATTGGCTGTAGAGACAACCATCGGTCCAACCTCTTCTAACTTTGATGCCGCATCATTTTTGGCAGATGTGGATTCAGGTATATACTAGATCCAAAAAGATAATATGAAGGCAATCAAAAAACCAACTATATCATTACGTTTTTAAGTGGACGAATAGTGCTTTGAAAAGTGCGGTTAAGAAAAACTTCCTACCGCCCCCACATGTCCTGTTGCGGCTGAGAGTGGGAATAGCCCACTCTCGCTCTTGAAATGCTTTCATATGGCAAAGCGTGAGTAGCCATTGCCAGGGAAGTCTTATTCATCGCCTTTTGTCCTTTTTGTGAGTATACCAATTCATGTAGAATAAATTTCTTGTGATACAGATTGACCGGATATACACACGTACATTTAAACGTCTGTTAAACAGATGTTACTATCAAAATCTTAATTGGAAACGAACGTTGTAACATATAAGCATGGATATGTCATCATATTTAAACGATCTGTATATGTCGTGAGTAATTAATCCATAGGTGTTAACAAAGGATTACTTGCGTATAATGTGACCGCTTAGTGAACAAAGCTAGTGTGTTAGGCACACAATATTAAATAGAGATAACAAATTATTTGATTATCAACAGTCAGTCGTGACGTAGGGTACATACATCAGTTTACGTTGTGATACCATGTTAGCCTAGTGAGATGAAACTGTTAGACCGAATCCCTGACTAGTAAAGTTTGAGAATTAAAGATGCGATTCGAAAAAAACGTAATAAAATAACCACAGGAAAATCATAAGAGACTCAAATGCTTAGAATTTGAGAGAAAACAAGCAATGCGTTAACATGCGTCATCGTCAACGATTTTGGGCTGTGTCATTCAGAATCTCTGATCATTGGTTACAATTATCACACAGACCCCAACCAGGTAGTCTACATCTATTAACATGTCTCAGTCTAATTGTAAATGACTTCGTGGACTGATGCCATATTTCGGTTTTGATATATGCTGATACATCAGCAACAACGTTCCGAGATGACGGACAATCACAAAAATGCCGATAACATAACAGACTCCAAGATGCAGGTCATCACGATCCAGAGGTCTAGTTCGCGGTTCTGGAAACTCAATTCGGGTTCCTCCGCATCACAAGCCAGCGGCAAAAACTCCCCTATTCCCTGGAAATCAAATCTCTGCTGTCCGCGAGGTTCTGAATCCCGACGCACCCAATATCTATGATCGTCTCAAGGAGGCGATTCTCAGATATTTCCTTCCACCCAGAGAGGATCGATTGAGAAATTTATTAGCACATAATCATCTGGGTGATGCAAAACCGAGTCTGATAGGAAATTCAGACGATAAAAGTGTTAACTCTAAATGTCTGTTTATTGTAAAGTTAAATAAAAACGGAAAATTTGCAACCCTAACGAACGCCACTTGAAGTAATAAATTTCGATGACAGATAGTGCCATAGAACCTCACGATCAACATAGTCGAACACCGCCTTCAGGTCAATTAATACGACTTTTGTCGGACAACCAAAAGTATATCTATGTTCCAGAAACTGTCAAAGTATGAGTACTTGGTTTATACATTCACGTCGAGGTCTGGAAGCAGCCTATTTTTCCTGAGTTAGGCGTTGTAGTTTTATTGAGGTTAATGTTCTATATACTACATTAGTTAAAAAAGATCTCTTTCTGATTGTCATAAGGACTTTTGTCCTCTCTCATTCGACGGGCGACCGAGTCCAGGTTTCTATTCCTTATTGACTGGTCTGCCACGTCTGCACATAAAGAGATAATAATCAAAGTAAAGTAAAGCACAAAAATTTTGGCGAACCAAATCAGTAATAATTGTTTATCCCAAGATATCTCAACTCTTATTCGTAAGTCCATACGCACATCTTTAGTCCAAATAAGAGTACTTAGCAACGTAGAACTTCGTACGTAAGTACATTAGTTCAAGTTACCATACCACATTAGCACAGAGATGTAAATGTCAAATCCCGTATTAGTAGAGGTTGTAAAAGTATTAGCAGTAATTGGAGAGATTAATAAACAACAGTACCGATGTTTATCTTACGAAACAAAACTTAACGGTTTGAAAAGCCAAGAATAATTAAGCATACCTTATGCGGGACAAAATGAAGACTAGAAAGTCTATCTAACTCGTCAAACAGTTCCAGCATCTCAGCCTGGATTGCATTTTTTTGGGGATCATTTTGGTCTTCTTCAAGAATCTAGAGATAAGCCATGAAGTGTTGTTCATACTTGATTTCTCTTGAGAAAACCTTCATACTCTTCTACCAGTGACTTCTGGACGATATTCTGTAGTGGGATTTCTTTAGAAGGTCCCTTTACTTCCTTAACTTTGAAAACAGGACTGTCGAACATCTGAAAAAAATTATTGCTTAGTATTTCACTAACTCTTTCTTTGATGGCTTTTATGATGTAGTCATTTATAACAGCTTCATCCCGAACATCTGGCTCTGAAGAGGATTTAAAGTGTAATATTGAACTTACTGAAAAGACCATGGCGTTGTACATCGAAGTGTTCTTCAAGTAAAGTATTTTCATTTCGTCCAGTAGCTGCAATTTCACCCTGCAAATACCACGGCTTCACATCTAACATTTTTTGTTCCAATGCATCTGTCTCTTTATCAAGCTGTTTATTTTGGGTTTAACTTATTTAAATTATGCAGTACCTTCTCTTGAAGAAGCTTGAAATTATGTTCCTTGTTTGCTTTTACCATGCTCACTAAGTTGCAGTAAATGCCGAAATATCAGAATCTTTTGTCAGCAAGATCGAATTTCTGAAAGATAAGTGAATGCCCAACTTGATATATATTGTGTCAAATCGGGTCCGTGAAATCAATCAAAAACTTGCATTATTTAGGTTAACAAGCAACTGTTAGGATATATTTTTAGATCACTTGGATTTATAGTCATTTGGGATTGGGAGGTGATGACCACGTAAAGATCGAGATCAACAAATAGTATTATACAAAACCTATACGCGACTTTTCAGCGATTGATTAAAACATGTAGCTAGATGCTCATTTTTAGATGAACGTCCAATCAGAAGACCTAAGCTCCGAATTGAAGTAAGTTTCACACTCCAAAATGACCTCTAGTGCTTTCTAGGGTGGATTAGCAGTTGTGCATACATTGTGAAGGTATATCTCTTTAGATGGAATCTGAAAAGGTAACTAGAATCGAGTATAGTCTTGCTGACATAAGAACTTAACCTTATAAGCTAGAAGACAACAGTTTCGGATTATTCGCACGTGAACTTGTGGTCTTTATCCCGTTGTTTATTGGCGGCCGTAAACTTGTCAAATTTCGCCGAAGAACTCAAACTGTGATAGAGACATAGTATTTCAGGAGCTAACTGTTTACCAATACATACTTCTGAGTGTAAGGAGGTAGTTGTTAAGTCTATAGGTTTTCGATAGACATTTGGGGGATGATTTTATTATCAGATCTGGAGTTTTATCACATGTTGAAAAGTACAGTTGATACTATTCCAGTCAATACGGTTAAACTGGCTTACTGCGATATGTAAACCTAGCTGTCAAATCAAAGTGGAACGGACGTTTGTCTTTAAGAAAAGACATAGTGCTACATTAATTCACCTTAGGTTAAAAATATTTTGTTTACTTCGGCGGTTATGGATTCCCGAGTAGATTTAAGAGGTAAGTCAACAGACTAGTCTTAGATAAAACTACTCAAGCCATTGTTATCAAGTTTGAAGTCTGACAGAAACGCAAATTTACCACTTATTCACGGTGTTATACACATTATGGAGAAAGCTGGAGCTTTCTTCAATGTTATTTTCATTACAGAGGTGTTCAAGTTGAGCCAGATAGATAAACCAGTGTGGACGGGGAAGTCTTCAAAAACAAAACCTTTCATAATGCTGACTTGGATTTTCTGGAAAAGGTGAAGAGCCATCTGCGCAATTCTGACATCCCGAAGTTTACTATATTCAAAGCTGATTGAGAATCCATGCCCCTTTATTCTGTCCCATAACAGATTGAGACCTGGTATGATTTTAGTGCACAGAATACTGAGAAGTGATTTTAGGTCTGATACACCTCCTTTTTTGATCTCCCTAGATCATAACAACTCAAAGGACAGCAGGTGAGTTCAAAACTCGTAGATGAAGAGAATACCTACATATAACTAGAGAACTTGCGAACATTCTGGTCAGGAAGTCACTCCATTCAGGAGACAATGCTAAAATAAGCCATATTTGTGAGTTGTGTGAAGCGACTAAAATTGTATGCTATACCTTACACTGCATATGCGTTGCCACTAGACTGTACTCTAGGACACTACATTGATGAAGTTTGAGATCCCACATTCCAAGCTAATCGGCCTGAAATAATTTGGCACGAAGTAAACACATAAACACTGTATATTAAACCATTTAGCCAAAATGTTCTCCCATAGAGATATTTCATTATTAGTTTTTATCAATGAACTATGACTTACGTTAATATCTTGGTTAGAATGTTCCGTATTTGATCGGGAGACCCGGCCCTAGGTAATATATGTGATTTTGGTGCTGTTTGGGGGAGATTTCTTCCAAATTTGTAGTAGATGAGTCAAAGCGAATCTGACAACCTGAAATCATGTGACATTGTAACGCATCAAGAAAAATCCGCGCTCTGCCAGTTATGCTCAGAGACAATGTAATTGTGTACACCAACTGATTTTTGTTAGTTTATCAAATTTCGAAACCACCATCCTACTGCTGAATTGCAAAGTACAGAGTAATCCCTCCTCTCAACGAGACTCACTGGCGTGCAGTTTAATTAAGGCAGAGGTTCATAAATTTGCTGTGAATTAACTTCACTTTTGTGTATTTATTGCATCAAAATCACGCTTATTTTTCTTGACTTTCTTTTTTTACCACTGCATTAGGAAATAACCAAACTGGAAGGCTATGAAGCTTCTGTCGTATGCCGGTAGGAATGTTGCTGATGGCCACGACTCCAGTGCTGACAACGAAGGATATGTCAGTGTAGTAAATGAGGATAAGGCGGGTAGACACTCAGCTGTGGATCATTCAAAGGAGGAAGTGTGAAATACCAGTAGATGTTGATGGTCACAGCTCCATAGTCGTACTTCAAGACCCGGATAAAACCGTCACAGTTGTTAGTAGTCTTTGTAGAATCCTTTTTGAATGTTTTGTTTTTTGGAAAATCCCTCCATGTTTACATATTTTTGTTATGACATGACGGACTTTTTCTGTTGACATTTTGGTATTTTATTTGATTCCAATTCGAGATTTTATCATTGTATATTGTTATTATTTCTATATTTTGTACTTATATTGAAGTTTTTATGTTTGCTTCTGAACTGTATATACGTTGTTTAAAGTTGATCTTTAATATGGCCACAGCCATATTTGGATTGATACTGTAGCGGTCGGATCTAACAGCACTTACCCCTTTTAATTCGGATACTCCTGAGAGTAACTGGGACTTGGAAAGTGCATCAAACTTCAGGTATTGATTTGTATTTCCATTTTTTAATATAATATAGACCGTTTTCTCCTATAATTATTGTGTTTTTTGACATCGGATTGGGAGATAACGCGTTCGAATTGCACTTACTGGAAACAATTGAACTGCTACGGTAGAAAATTCATTTATAGTCTTTGTGCGGTTTTCTTGAGTGTAGGTAAATAAGCAGTAGTTACGAGTCTGAAAAGAGAACGATGAACCACTCCAAAACAAGGAACCTGTGTTCGGTTTATAAATCCTCAGTGAGCTCTGATTTTTAGTCGCAAGATTCCCGCCAAGATGAAAAATGAGGATTTCATCTGACCTGGAGTGGTTGAAAAATGCTCGATTTCATCAAGCACTGTTGTATCAGAAAGAATGCCTTGAAAATGCCTTCGGTTTATGTGGTGGTTGTAGGCTCACCACTCCTCTAATAGTCGGTATTCGATATATTCCTAGACTTCGAATACTATTCGTCCGGATAACTATTATTAGACAACGCCCAACGAGGTTTAGATAAAAAAAAACAGATTACTTTTGTGTTCTTACCACATATATCTCAAAGCAGCAAAAACACGAGTGGAAAGTGAGACACAAGTGCCAAGGAGCGAGTGTGCATGTGAATGAACAGGACTATATAGTACAAATATATACATGGGAAAACGGATAAGTCATCGAATTATTTAGGTGGTTAATATTAAAACGAGTAAACTAAATTTGCGTATAGGCGGAAAGTTGTGCTGAAGCATACCTGCCCATATATATGTGAAAATAATCAACTGTGAATGGCATATATAAGTTGATTCTATACAAATGACTGCTAAATAAGTTGATAAAAGGGCTTTGCTAAAATTAAACGTAAACAAACTCAAATTTAAATGAGTTGCTATAAGTATTTTATTGTATAGTGTTTTTGTTCCTTCATTCTTCAACCATGTTTAATGTCTTGCTAGGAACCCTTGTATTCATGTTTTATGTTTATCGCTCTCACGTGTGCAGGTCGTCAGTGTGTAAATTTGGTCAACAGTTAGCTTACTTAAACTTTTTGACGGGTCAGTGGCAATAAGGTTGTGTTTGACAGGACTAATAGTGACGGTATAGTTCTTCTAATGATTTTTGACCTTTGAGTACCTGATGGAAGCTGTTGCTCGAATCCTTGTAAATGGATGTTTGATTCCATTTTGGAATACTTGTTTATTCAACGCTCATTTTGTTGCTTAGCACGCTATTCTTTGCAAGAGAATCATTTGATTGTAGAGCGCAGGCTGTACCGATCACGTCATTTTGCGATTTCAACATAATTTGTACTTTTCTTAAATTACGACAGAGTAAATTGTGTACATAGATTGCGCTTTGATATAATGTAATACGATTCACTCAAAACGTTTTGTATAGTATACAGAAAAACATGGTTTGTCCTTTGGGATGAACTTTGGCTTGTTAGATGTGCATGCAGACCAAATAATCGAGCTTTGGTCGCTAAACCAGTTATTGATGCAGTTATAAACAGTTATGTATTTACTTGCACTTTTAAACTGGAAGTGGTTTATCGTACAGCAGCCAACATAACTCGCATCAACTGTTGTATTGTACGTTTCAGAGTCTGAGATAGTTACGATCTTATCTGTAAAACGTAAACCTTTCATAAAAAGCCAGTGTATATTATGAAATATTAGTCCAGATGAACAATCTTTCAAATTAATATGTTAGCAACTTTAGCACTTTACTCTTGCCTGCAAATTGGCATGCATCTTGTAACACGCTGTTATTTGAGAATAAATTATCGCCAAGTAAAAAGCTAACAGTTGTCTTCCGAACGTACTATACCTCGTTTGAGTAGGATTTAATAATAATAAAATATTTCCGTGATATGATAGAGGGTAACGTTTTCACAGTGTATACAAGTCAATAACTTTAGCGTCAAAGCCAAGCAGGATAACTGTATGCCGAGGGAAATTCGACCATTAGAATTTATTTCTCAATTTACATCTAGCATACAGTATAGTAAAAACAATAATGATGAAGTGACAGATGCATTGCCCAGAACAATGATTAACGCTTTTATTCAATCTGAAATCGATTATCAGAAATTGGCAGCAGTGAAAAATATGAATGTTGAGCTGAGGAGACTGACGTCTACCAACACAACATCTTAGGTACTCAAATAAGATCGAGTGGACAGAGTAAGTATCACGTGTAATACTTCTACGGGACGACCACGACCGTTTAGCCCGAGGCCAAAAAGACGGAAAGTTTTCGGAACTATGCATAATATATCTCATCCTGGAATAAACGCCACAATGAAATAAGTGACTGAGCGTTTCGCAGGGTCATGTATGAAACGGGATGTACGTAATTGAACGCAAACATGGATCATCACACTAATTCCGCAGTGGGTCTTTTTCGTCACCCTGACATCAGGTTTGGGCATGTGGGTATCGGTATTGTGGGACTTACGCCTTTAGTCATATCTTCACCCGCACTGACAGATTCATGCGATGGCCCGTAGCAGTACCGATTAAAAACAGTTAGCCCGAAACTATGGCTAAAACCCTGATTGATTGTCTATCTTACTATGGAGTGCCCGCTATTATTACTACTGATAGAGTTCACTTTGAAATTCACCTGTTGCAACACCTCACATAACTACTTGGAATCAAACATATTCGCACAACATCCTACCATCCGATGGCGAATGAAATGACAGAGAGATTATATCGGCAACTTAAAGCCTCACTCACAGCTGTTATCGGCAATAATGCTTTCGCCAGCAAGCTTCCATTAGTCATGTTGAGTTTGAAACTAAAAATAAAGAGAGATATATGATGTTGCTTTGCAGAGTTGGTTTACGCAGCTACTTCACGTCCTTCGGGAGAGTTTTTCATCTCAGTTAAAAGTGTTCCAACTAATATAGCCAACTCTGTAAAACGTCTAAAGCAGCATATGAATAATCTAAGAGTAACGCTTCCGAGACAAAATCAACAATTGATGTACATATCAAAACACCTGAGCGGAAGTACCAATCGAGGCAGTCTTTTTCACACACAGAAATTTAACAGGATTAATTGGTGAGAGAGTTAGAATAAAGACATTTCAACAAAGAGTAAGAACAAGAGTTCAATGTTGAGTAAAATGTTAACATATGGGGATTTTCAAGAATAAGCACACAGATACCTGCAGGTTCATTCATAAAGTACCCCTTCTTGCCAGTATGGAAAATTTACTGCTGAACGCTAATAGTTGGCGAAAATTATGAAAGCCAGTGAAGACCAAAGTAAGATTATAAGAGTTCCAAGGATTGGCTGTGAAGAGAATGCCTCGCTGTTGATACCTTTAGCATTTTGATTGAATATGGTTATTCACAGATAAGATTTTAATTCTGAAAAGTAGGAAACTCTGACCACCGTGATAGGTAAAGTCACGATTAACAGTGATTCAACTTCAACGTAGGTTCATGCGAATTAGGTAAGCTAATTATGGTCGTTCAGCAAAATTATATCACGGTAAATAATCTAAAAATATAAATGCGATCAGTAGTGGCTCTTATAGTAATAAATTCTTTAGACTAAAGAAATAATTTTTGCTTGGCACTTCTATTTATTCATGGGATTATTAGTAGGGCCGTGTGAATTCATGGCCTAGATGCTAGACATGGGTGTTTTTGTTTTTGCTTGAGATCAGACAGCTGCTGATCACTGTGCAGACAAAATAGATACCTCAAACGGCGCCTCTTATTAAACATTGGGAATAGCGCACAGAGTTGATTATTATTTAGGACCAGAAGTGTTAATAATGGTCGTTTTAAGGAAGACGACATTGACCGTAGGGGTTTGGTTATATGCTTCATTTCTTTCGACCTTTCAAAAAGTGATCTTAACAGTGATTGTAGTCATCAGGTTGTGAATATAACTTAACTGGAAGTGATCTGAAATTGTTTTCGTTCTAGGTTACCTACGTCTGTCTGCAAGGAACCAGAAAAAGTTGGCCTTGTTAAGGGCGACGAACAGCAAGGACTCCAGTACACGGTTGCAATGCCGAATTTTTTTCAGATGCGGAAAGTGGTCGAACTCGATGTTTGCCTTTCTTATTCTGTTCAGACAAGCCAGTCTATTTTCGAGAATAAAGGTTTTTATTAGTTATGATATTGTATTTATCGTTGCTTGTGACGTGTGATAATTTCGGTGATTTTTTGCAACTTCTTGAGTATTGATTAAGTGTCTGTGAAAGGAAGTAGCTACTCCTTAGTGATCCTCAACCAGAAAATAAGGTTTCACGAATATGGAGTTCAGTGTTTTCACCTATTAACTTTCATTTCCTTCATTCGGCGAATAGGCTTTATTGTTCCGGCAATTCCGTCACATTCCTAAGCGTCGAGACGCTTTTAATAGCAATTACCTAATGACTGAACTTGCGTGGCCCCTTGCTGAGAATAAGATACAGTTCGCCAGATGAGATCATCGATTTCATGCCGGTATTCACAAGATAATGAGCCTTCATCATGATATCAGAGGTGTGTGACAAGCGTGTGTGTACTTCAGCTACATCTACCACTAACAGGTGCCGATAGATTGGTAGTAAAAAGTTTGGAGTTCAGTCACTTTTATCGTTCCAAATAGTCTAGGGACACTTTGCAGTGGATATCGTAGATTTATTAATGGTTTAGCAATGAAGTAGGGATGTCAAAGTTTGCCTAACGAGTACGATAGCTGCTAATAAACCAAGTAAGGAAACAACGTGTGGTGGAACGCTTCTACGAAGAAAATACGATTTGTGAAAAATAAACATTATTGTACTCGTTTTGTTTAACTGTGCCAAAAACACTTCTGCTACTTCTTGCGCGCAACGTTCTCTTCGCGTTGCTGCCATTTTTCTAAATGCCCTGCTCCCCATGTAATGCCAACGTTCTCCTTCAATAAAATGCTCAACCATGGATTTATTCTGATTTTAATGACGGCGGGATATTATGGAACATTTAGTGGTGAGCATAGTCAGTCAGGTGTCTTGACCCGCTCACTAAAAACGTATGAAACAACATAGTTGATTAACTATGTACTTTATTTTAAAAGTCATACTGACTGCCGAAAATGTCTGATAAGCAAATCTAAAAACTATGGAAAAAAACGAACGGATTCATAAGCTTTTTACTGCTTTCTTTCATCTCCTCATTGAGTATATTAAAAAAATCAGAGCTGAAATCTTAACACAAACTAAAATTGAAGCACAAACGCTAAACGAAGGGAGCTACATACAATAAAGCTAGAATCAAGTGTTCGGATATTCCATTTTTCTTCAAGAGTTTTGGAGAAGTATGCAACTTCATTTTGGTTTTTATGAGGCCTTTATTTAATGGAGTAAACTTCAATGCATCGAGTTATGGAGAACTCTAGGATTCTGTCATTTAATGCGGTTGGTTACTTGATTTTATTATTTTAGGAGTTTTGGAAGAAAGTCCTTCATGAATGAACTATACGTGGAGACATTCGTGTTGAAAAACCATCTTTAAATTCGACATGGTGGAAAAGTCCGTAGCAATAGATGGGACCCTAAGTGAAATAGTTTTGTCAGTCTTCAACATTTATGATGACCTCATTAGTTTTAGTAGACACACCAAAGCCTAAGATTCTAGATCACAAATTCACACCACACCGTACCATGCATCCTTTCGTACTAACTGGTCAGTTTATATTAGGCCCTTCTGGAAGTACGAATTATCTTTTAAATATATCTTCGAACTCCTTTATATTGCCCTTGTGTTCAGGATTGAAAATTATCAAAATGTTGTGAACGAAAGCGTTGTGAAGATTTTAAAATACATGAAATCATGTAGACCGTCTCAGCTAGATCCTTTCTTTTAAGGACATCCTTATTAATTACTTTGCATGATACTCCAAACCTACTGGTCAGATATCATCAATAATTATCTACTAGGGCAGAGAGCAAACCACCCTCAAACTGAATAGTAAATTTTGGATGAGCACTTGAGTTAGGTAAGAACCTCATCGCAAAAATCACTTAAATGTATCACAAAGAAGGCCTCAACTTGGAGTCTTCCACTAGGTAGAAAGATGCAGAGCAAAATGTACAGTGCCTTGGAAACTGGGAGCAGATACCAAAAAATGAGCTGCACTTAGAAACGGTTAGTTAGGAAAGCTCGAGAAAAAGTAGGTTTGAGGTCATTGGTCAGAGGCTTATTCTCCTCAAAGGGAAAGAGGCGTAAGTAATAGTCCAGGAGTGTCATCATCACCACTAGTTCATAGGTTGTAAGGTAATGGACGTGGGGTTTATAATTTTCGAATAGTTGACAACTGGCCTAAAATATCTAGAGGATTGTAGTTGTATGACATTAACTCCTTTTATGACATAGTTGAATGATAAGGCTCGAAGGCATGATATATTTTGTACGTTACAGAGTCCAACAGAAATTGGTTGTCAAGCTTAAGAAGTAAAATATCTCACAACTAATGCACACAAACAAATAATATTGGGTTAAGTTATGATTAAAACCCAAGAGTATACCGTATTCTATCAACATTATAAACATCATTGAACTTTTTTGATTCCACGGTCTACATGTATATTGGACACTGAATATCGCTTACCTGATCAAATCCCGAGTCTCATTTTAGCGGCATGGCAACATTCCCGGGAAGAGCACAAGGGCAGTTGGCTTTCGATGAATATGGAAGACCGTTTATCATATTAAGAGATCAAGAGAAAAAGAAGCGCCTATGTGGTATACAGGCACACAAGGTAGATCTTGTTAATATCCAATGGTTACGAAATTAGTCCCACATAATGGCAGCGAAAACAGTTGCAGGCACCCTGAGAACATCTTTGGGTCCTAAGGGTTTAGATAAAATCCTTGTCAGTCCAGATGGAGACATAACTGTTACTAACGATGGACGAACAATTCTCGACAAAATGGATGTGGAGCATGAAATTGCTAAATTACTTGTTCAACTTAGTAGATCTCAAGATGATGAAGTAGGAGATGGTACTACTGGTGTTGTTGTTCTCGCTGGTGCACTTTTGGAACAGGCTGAACAGTTGCTTGACAAAGGTCTTCATCCCATTCGCATAGCAGATGGTTACGAATTGGCTGCAAAACATTGTCTTTCTACCCTTGAAGAAATCAGTGTTAAATTTGAATTTTCTACTGAGAATAGAGAACCTCTCATTAAAACTGCTATGACTACTCTTGGATCAAAAATGTAGGCCTTTATCTTATAATACAATTAATTGTCTAGAGTCAATCGTTGCCAAAGGATGTTTTCTGAAATGGCAGTTGATGCTGTTTTATCAGTTGCTGATTTAGAACGTCGTGACGTTGATTTCGAACTCATCAAAGTCGAAGGGAAAGTTGGTGGAAGACTTGAGGACTCATTGTTAGTAAAAGGCGTGATTGTCGACAAGGACTTTTCTCATCCTCAAATGCCACGGTCAGTAGAAAATGCCAGACTAGCGATTCTTACTTGCCCGTTCGAACCACCAAAACCAAAAACGAAGCACAACTTGTTTGTAAGCTCAACTGAGGATTATCATAAGTTACGGGATTATGAACAAAAGAAGTTCGAGGAAATGGTAAAAAAGTCAGTTCTCACTAATTTGGTTTTGTTTATGAGTACCTAGATTAATCCAAAGATTCCGTATAGTTCTGTTTTTCTTTACATTTAACAGTTGATCCTCGATTTGCTTAGTTCCAGTTTATGTCCCAGGAACTAATAATTAGATTATTGATATATCGTAGCGAGTTCCGGCAAGCAAATATTTCTTTGTATTTTGTTACAGCTGTACGTTGCTGTTTTTCCTCCCTGCATCCGTAGTAAGAGCTGGATTCAACCATGTTAGATATACCAAATCAATCCACTTCTAATTTTCTTATCGAGTTTTACTTTCAGGCAGTAGCGCAACGTAAGCAGTAACTGGGCTTGCGTAGCACGTTTTATCATTTCAGTGTGTACGCTCCCAATTTTAACTGATTAACTCTATCCAGTGCTCTGTTTGACGTCAGAATTGATCGTTTGATATTTAAAGTATCCCTTCAAAAGCTCCAGCAGCTGGATACACGTAAGTATCCCCTTCACTTCAGTAGTCCTTTTCGGTTGCAAAAAATCGCCACAGTAGTCAACTATTTTTGTAGAAGGATGTATATCTCGACTTCAACCCAACAATCTGAGATAAATGCAATTTATTTTTGTATGTTATTAAAGTTCACAGATCTCCCAGGTCTGACGACTCAAAAAACAAGTGTAGTTCTCTAGCCATGTTATATTTTCACATAAAATGTGACGATTGGTTGTATGCAAATCAAAGTACTTTGTTTTCCCCTGTTTGTCACAGTGTTACCAGGTTGTTATCCACTCAGTCAGATGCAACGTAGAACTTCGTACGTAAGTACATCAGTTCATGTTGCCATACCACAGCACAGAGATATGATTGTCAATTCAAATCCAATAGTAGTAGAGGTAGTAAAGGTATTAGAAGCAGTCGGAGAGGTTCGGATTAGAAGATATTATTCAAGAAGTATGATTCAGTGAGTTAAGTTTAGAAAGACAAAACTAGAGTTGTTGAAGAATCCAGAAGATTAGGATTTGAGAGAACACAAAGAATAAGTGCACCGGCGCCATTGCAAACGGTTTTGAGCCATGTCATTCAGGGTATCTAACCATCGATTATTATCGTCTCTCGGACCCCAACCAGGTAGTCGACAATTACCGACATGGCTCAGTCCACTAGTCAATGACTTCATGGATTTCTGCCATGTTTTGGTCTGGCCGCCCCTAACTTTCTTCCAACCTACTCCTACACTACAAAACAAAGTTCGTCGAGGCAGTCGGTGGTTGGGCATACGCAAGACATGTCCCAACCACCTCAACTGATGAAGTTTCACCACTTCATTTATTGATCTGCCATCCTTACCTAGTACTCGTTTCCTAACGTCAGCATTGCTTACTCGGTTGTCCCACGGTATACGAGCAATGCTTCGGAGACACCGATGATCGAATACTAGTAACCTACGAATATCTTCTACTCTCACTGGCCATGTTTCACAGCCATATAGAACGGAGCGAACTGCTGCACAGTACACTCGTCCTTTGATTAGAGAACGGGTATCACGCCTACGCCATAAGTGACGCAGGTTGGCAAAAGCCAATCGAGCCTTCTGTATCCGAGCTGAGATTTCGTCAGTCACCAGGCCATCGGAACTGATGAGACTCCCAAGATAAGTGAAGCGGTCTACACGTTCGACTACTTCACTCCCTATCACTAGTTCTGGTGCCGATGCAACCCAGTCTTGAAGCAACATTTTGCATTTCGAGGGTGAAAACCGCATCCCGAACATGCTTGCATTGTTACTTAGGGTAGTAAGACGCTGCATTTTGTCAGCATCTTCACCAAGTAGGACTATGTCATCGGCATATTCTAAGTCAATAAGCGAGCCACCTTGTAGAAGGTCTACTCCAGAAAATTCAGACGAGGATAAGGTTATTTCTAGCAGCATGTCAATGATAAAATTATACAAAAATGGAGAGAGTGGACATCCCTGACGGACACCACTTGAAGTAGAGAATTCCGGTGACAGTTCGCCATAAGCCCTCACTCGACCAGTGGTGTACGAGTAAAGGGCTTGTATAAGGTTAATGTACTTCTTTGGTACACCTTTCAATGACAGACACTGCCACAGAACCTCACGATCCACAGAGTCAAATGCCGCCTTAAGGTCTAGGAAAACAACTATTGTAGGACGTCTAAATGTGTGTCTATGTTCCAGGACCTGTCTGAGTGTGAAAATGTGGTCTATACAACCACGTCCAGGCCGAAAACCAGATTAGTTTCCTCGAGTTTGCTCTTCACGAGCTTTCGTTAAGCGTCGAAGTATTACTGAGGCCAATATTTTAGATACTATATTAGTTAGACTTATTCCTCTGTGATTGTCACAAGAAGACTTCTGTCCTTTCTTACAGATTGGGACAATCAGTGATTGAGACCAGTCGGATGGGATTACGTCCAGTCCCCAGATTCTACCTAAGATCTCAGTCAACCTAGCTGCTAAAACTGGACCACCATCCTTAAATATCTCAGAGGTCAGTCTATCAGGACCTGCAGCTCGTCCTCGCTTCAGATTTCCTAACGCTTTTTCAACTTCATTAAGACTAGGGGGACTTAGGTCGATTTGCCATTCAGGATGACTGGAGATCGTGGGTAACTGAAGAGTGGCTCGAGGCCAGTTGAACTGATCCCTAAAGTGTTCTGCCCATCGATCCAGTCTCCTGGATTGAGAATAAATAATAGTCCCGTCATTTTCTGAGATAGTCTCACTTACACTAGGATTCCTAATACCAGTTTCCTTGATAAGTCGGAAAAGTTGTCTACTGTTGCCGATCGCCGCTGCCTTTTCCATCGCTTTTGCTTTCGCCACCCACCACTGTTCGCGGTCGTTACGTAGACTTTTTATAAGTCTGCGCCTAAGCTGACTACGCTCTTCATCATGCTCAGAGTCAGGTGGGATGCGTTTTCGGTGGGTGCGACTGATATCCACGGCTTCATCCTAGCCTTATGGTTTACCTTACTAGCAGATATCACTGCTGTTTTCACAGCCTTTTTGATATCATACCAACCTGCTTCTGGATGGGAATCACTTACATCGTTGCATAACTCTCTTTCTAGTTGTTCCTGAAATATTTTCTTAGTTTGATTATCATTAAGTAAAACCCTAAGAGGCTTTCTTACGGTGTCTTTCCTACGTCCAGTAAGCCTCAAACAGATACGAACTCATCTCCCATTAGATATTCTCTACCTCAGTTTGAGCCAGCTCTTAGTCTTAGATCCTGCAATATTTCTGTTCGTGATATTTCGAATCCAAGTATGATTCCATATTATACTTTTTTTGCCATTTGTTCCTTCCAGGTCTCCTGTGGTTGTTAAAGTATGCTACTAGAATAAATATCAGTCTCCTGCATCAAAAGAGGAATTTGACTCTTTTTGTACATAAGTATCAAAGTTCGTTTTTAGAGAGTTATTTCAGTGTTGTTGGTACTTAACTGTAGCATAATTGAAAGAAAATTCTCTCAGGAAAAGCGTTCAGTCGTTCACTGTCTATTTCTAAGGCAATTAGCTTGAGTCGTGCCTAAGCGCAAGGTTTTTGTATGCATCAATTAACTACGTAATAAAATGAAACGACAATAATCTTCCAAATCTGATTTTCTGTCGTTAAGGGTTTTTTAATTTTACCTTTTGAATTTTTCCAGGTTTTCTTGCCTATTATTCTTTAAAGTACTTGCTGAAACGCATTCATTAGTTTTGAGTTTGTCAGTTTCCTTCACCTCAGAATTTCTGTTATGTCTATGGGTCCTCTACTTGACGCTCAAACATTGATAAGACTTAACTTTAAGCATATTTGTATCGCCTATTTTATGTTCTGTTAAACAGTATAACTTAAGTGGATTAACTTCCCACCAGAAAACCACTTTAAGCAATACCTTTTTTGCAATTTCTGAATAAAACTTCCTGTTTATATTTGTATTTATTAGGGTTAAGGACACTGGTGCTAATTTGGTTATTTGTCAATGGGGTTTCGATGATGAAGCTAATCATTTACTTTTACGTGAGAAGCTACCAGCTGTTCGGTGGGTTGGTGGTCCTGAAATAGAATTGATTGCAATAGCTACAGGTGGAAGAATTGTTCCCAGATTTGAGGAATTAACCAAAGAAAAACTTGGCAAGGCTGGAATAGTACGTGAACTTTCATTCGGTACCACTAAAGAACGTATGCTTGTAATTGAGCAGTGTGAAAACTCAAAAGCAGTAACCTGTTTTATACGCGGCAGTTCTCGAATGATTGTGGACGAAGCTAAACGTTCTTTGCATGATGCGCTTTGTGTTGTTCGCAATTTGGTAAGCAGTATGTATTATCTATCTTTTCTATTTTTCACTTAGTTATGGTGATGTTGTATCAAAAATTGTATCCACCTTAGGTTTCAGACTTAAACAATAAACCACATTTAGAATGTGTCGATAGTTGAACTGCCTGTATTGAAGCAATACTGGAAATCTAAGATGAAGGAGAGCAGCGGGTCCTGAAAAGTTGACTCTTGAGAGTTTTGAGGATGGTGGTTCAGTTTTAGCAGTTAGGTTGACTGAGATCCTAGGTAGAATCTAGGAAACGGGCGTGATCCCATCGGACTTGTCTCAATCGTTGATTATCCCAGCCCAAAAAAGGATATTAGTCCTCTTGTGACAGTCACAGAGGAATCAGTTTAACTGATATGGTGTCCAAAATATTTCTTCGATAATACTTCGATGCTTAACTAGACCTCATGAAGAGCGAACTCGAGAAAACCAGGCTGGTTTCAGACTTGAACATGGCTTTATAGACCAGATATTCACACTACGTCAGGTCCTAGAACACAGACACGTTCAGACGTCCCACAATAGTCTTATTCTTTGACCTTGAGACAGCAGTTGACTCTGTCGATCGTTAGGTTCTGTGACAATGTTTGTCATCGGGAGGTGTACGAGAGAAGTACATTAACCTTATACAAGTTCTCTACCTGAACACTACAGGTCGAGTGAGAGCTTATGGCGAACTGTCATCGGAATCGGTTACTTCAACTGGTGTTCGTCAGGGTTGTTCGGTTTCTCCATCCGTATATAAACTAGTCATGCTTTTGGAAATGACGCTTCTATCATCTGACCTTTCGGGAGTAGACCTACCAGGAGGCTCGCTTATTGGCTTAGAATATGCTGATGACATGGTCCTATTCGGTGAAGACGCTGACAAAATGCAGAGTTTTCTGACTACCCTAAGCAACAATGCAAGCATGTTCGGTATTCGATTCTCCCCATCGACATGCGAAATGTTGCTTCAGGGTTGACTTGCCTATCAGGCGACTGCCTCGACTAGCAATATGAAGTCACTGACAAGTGAAGTGAGTCATGGCGGTAGGTGTATACTACCTGGTTGGGGTCCGCGGGACGATAATAACTGATGGTTAGAAACTTTCAATGGTGCTGGTGCATTCATACATTGTGTTCTCTCAAACCCTAACCTAAATTCCCTATTACCTTTATCTCCCTTTTTAAATTTATCTCACTGGATTATACTTCTTGAATAGTTTGTTCGAGCCCTAATCTTCTCCATAACCGCCAATACTTCTACTATCTCTACCACTATAGGGTTTGAACTTACAGATGCATCTCTGTGTTAATGCAGTATGGCAACTTGAACTGATGTACGTACGTAACTGACTGACTGACTGCGTTAACACTTGAACTAGTGATAGAGAGCGAAGCAGTTGAGCCTTTTGACCGCCTCACGTATCTCAGGAGTCTCATCAGTGCTGATGGCCTGGTGTGTGACGAAACCTCAACACGGATACAGAAGGCTCGATTGGCTTTTGCCGACTTGCGTCACTAATGGCGTAGGCCAGATATCTGTCTGCTAACCAAAAGAACGAGTCTGCTGCGTAGCAGTTCGCTCCGTCCTACTTTATGGGTGTAAAAGATGGCCAGTAAGAGTAGAAGATTTTCATACATCGTTAGTATCTCATCATAGGGTTTCTTCGACGCATTGCTCGTATTTCCTGTGACAATCTAGTAAGCAGTGTTGGTGTTAGGAAATGCGTACTAGACAAGGATGGCAGATCAATAGATGAAGTAATGAAATTTCATCAGTTGGTTTGGACTTGTATTACGAATGTCCAATCACCGACTATCTCGGCGAGCGATTATGCCTGGTGTAGGGGTAGGTTGGAATAAGGCTAGAGGTAGAGAGACGAAAACACGGTATAAATCCGTAAAGTCACTGATGTTAGTAGCTGTAGATTACCAGGTTAGTGTCTGTGAGGCAATGGTAACAAGTGTTTAGGAGTTTGAATGACGTGGTTCAAAATCGCTTGAGATGGCGCAGGTGCACTGATTCTTTGTGTGCTATCAAATTCTAATCTTTCGAATTGCCTTATGACCGGCTTTCCCTCTTATTAAATTTATTTTATTGGGTTATACTTCTCAAATCATATCTTCGATCCCTATTCATTTTGATTACTGCTAATACTCCTACTACAACTTCTACTACTATGGGATTTGAAATGGCAGTCCAATCTCTGTGCTAGTGTGGTATAGCAACTTGAACTGATGTACGTACATATGAACTTCTACGATGCAGCTGACTGGCTGACTTATCACTTATATTTCGCTGGCCATTGAACGCATTGCGTCAACCTCAATCTGGCATTTCGGGCCTCTCCGAACGTCTCAGATTAGTATCCTCTGGTTCTATGGACTGATGGCTAATCAAGAATTGGCTATCCCTAGTTTTTTTCCACTCTTTTCTTTTGTCAACTGGAGTGGCTTCTCAGTGGTCATTAACTGTGCATGCGCAACACATTTCTCAACTAAAGCAATCAATAGAGATTCATTATCTCATCAATTGATTTCATTAAATGAGTACTCCACTTATGCTGTGAGAAGCTTTTTAATCCTTTATTTTTCAAAAAACATTCTGTATCGTAGAAAACAATATAAAACCTAAAGTTGTATGATAGTTAATTTGTTACAGTTTATAACTCCCACGTTTCACATCAGTTGACTATGATTCAAATCAGGTATTACAGCTGAACAAATAATCAATACATTAGTTCCATACGCTCGTAAGCACATGAATTAATCAACTGCAAAGACTAGTGCAAATATTATAATTTGATTAAGCTAGCCAACCCCGAGTTATTTGAACATCGATTAATCAACTCACGTAGAACACAGCGCTTTAGCATAGTGACTACAGATTTTAAACTTTATGAAGCAAAAGACAGGTTTGCAGTTAAGGTTTTGCGTTTCAAGAAAAAATCAACTGAAAATCACAGTATTTAATAGTACTTCTGTAGATTTAGCAGTATATTTACCGTAGTCACCATTAGAAATCAGTGTCAGTTACGTGGTATTGCCACATTACATAAGTTATTAATGGTTATTGTGTGAAATCCTCAATGTTAATGTTATTGTTTTAGGTTATGCTTAAAGTAATTCTATTCGCTTATTTTCTGTTTTATTAATTTTTGTATGCACAGGTTCGTGACTCTCGAGTTATTGCTGGAGGTGGTGCTTGTGAAATTGCATGCGCCTTGTCAGTTGCCGCTGAAGCTGACAAAGTTCAGGGTCTTGAGCAGTATGCTATGCGAGCCTTTGCTGATGCCTTAGAAGCGATCCCAATGGCTTTAGCTGAGAATTCAGGTTTGTCACCAATTGTTACAGTCGCCGAACTAAAAGCACGGCAGTTGTGCGACAAAAACCCTCGTCTTGGAGTAGATTGTCTAAATGTTGGTACCAATGACATGTACCATCAGAACGTCCTCGAAACGTTGAGTTCCAAGCGTGCTCAAATCATGTTAGCCGTCCAACTTTGCAAAATGATACTGAAAATTGATGACATTCGTGTTTCTGTTGATGAATTATAAGCGTTCCTTTTTAGGATCATTTTTGGAATCAATATGTAAAGGTTTATTTATGATCAAATATAAATGGCAAACTTAAGTCATAATTAGTTTTGATTCCCTAGTCTACATGAAAGGATTTTAAAGAGCACTATTTTATCCGAAAATTATGTTTGGTACTGCAGCACTCGCTACTAAATTATTACTCTAGTGGGTAGGATTTACACAAAATAATTACCGATACCATTCTAGACAATGCATCCGATTGACAATAAAATATAACGACAAGTCAATGGTTTATTTTAAATTTTAGTAATATATCGCTAGTTCAGGACTTGAATAATATGAATCTTTTAGTGGCCCGTTATCTGACTCCAGTTTGGACGAATAATTGGATTTGCTATGAATTCTTCCCTTCAGTTTCCGTATATCATACTTAGGCGAACCCCATTTGTGAGATCGAGGTAATACGATGCCAAATACTGTTTTATGGATGAATTTATTTTATCCAATCGTTCACACAGATGAACAGGAGAAGACGAAGCTCAAAGTCCAAGCCAAGTGGGGAAAGTGCGATAAGCAAAGTGAGCATGCACATATGCAAATTAAAACAAATAAGGATATGAGCGAATAAACAGACAGTCGAAAGATGCATGAATAACTCCAGAAGAATGGATTACCTAATCTGTCCCAAGGCTGCGACAAGACATATTAGTACACACTACAAGCTTACGTAGATTCAAACACTGTTCTAGTTTAACAGGAATTTATTGAAATGTACGTTCTTAAATGTTTAGTATGCCTTTAATACCACACTTCATTCGATTCAGACATCAACAACGTTGAGCTTGGTGCGTACGTACATCATTTCTAGTTGCCATACCATATCACCACAGAGATCGGACTGTCAGTTCAAATCCTATACTATTAGATGTAGTAGTAGAAGTATTAGCGGTAATGAAAAAGACTAAAGATTGAAGATATGATTCGAGAAGTGTATCCCGTTGAAATAAATTTAATGAGGGAAAACCGGTCATCAGGTATTCAGAAGATTAGAATTGAAGAAAAGACTGATGCATAATCTGTGCCATTGCTAGCGATTTTGAGCCACATCATGCACTCAATTCATTATAGATCAAAACATGATATTTCCCGAATAACTGATATATCAGTAGACTTAATTGGTAAAGACAAAGGTTTGCAAGGGAAGTAACTTGTTTATTCACAATTCACCCGCTAGCGCTGATTGTTCGAAAGAGGGCTAATCACTATGTTTCCATCTGATATGGACTAGACATGCAATTACGAGGATTCGGTACCGTTGAAAGTACTGTATTCACTTTGGAATTTTATTGTAGGATTCAACGTATATCCGAGTTATATTTTAAGCTGTGCGCGAATAACATGAATGGTCTGTAGTGTGTACTACTACGTTTTGTCCACACGGCTTGTATTATCTATGACTATAGGCCTCAGTCAAGAAGTCTGCATCCTTATATTCAGATCAGACTGACACTCAGTGACTTTATGGATCGGGGCAAGACTGAGTTCGTTAACATTTTGATTTTTTTTCAATCTAGTCCTATTTCAGTTAACGTGACACGGAGTAGGTAGTGAGGCAGTAGTATGATAATTATTTTAACATTATCGTCAAATTAATGCTTACATCAATTCTAACTATGAGTGTTACATAGAATTCGCCTATCAGAGCTATTACTCACTATTATTATTGTTACCTTCATTGCAATGAAAGATGTAGTTTACATGTTATGGTGTCTAATCTATGCATTGGATATCATTCATTAGATCAATGTGAATCTGGAGTTACTATAAGGAATAAGCGACAAGATATTCTATCTATTAAAGGGAAACCTCAAGTTAGTCTTTTTTATTATTCGTTCGAATTACTCTTTAATGTAGTCACATAATCTAAAACCCAAGATATCGTCACTTGTTGCATAACCGAAAATCTGACTAATATTAGTGAGTAGTTTCTAATTAGTTAATGTTCGGTGATAGAAATAACTCACAAATCGGTGGAAACCAGCATCATATAATGTCACATGAAAATTAGTTCGAAAAATGGATTATTATTAGCGACAAGAACATAATCACAGTCTCTTGGTTAAAGTATACAACAAATAAATCGTTTACGAAATTTAATAGTCTCTTTTAACATGAATGGGGGGTTGTTTACTACCGTCTATGAAGCTTTAGACAAATAATATATTTATGAGCTTACAATCAAAGTACGGCGTACGAAGTAAGCATGAAGTTAAATTACAATACAATGGCGGATAGATGGTTAATTGTGTTGTGCTGAGTGGGAATTTAATTAATTTTTTTAAAATGTTTATCCATTTCACAGTTGAGTTGCTTTAACTGTTGATAGCAGTGAAAAGATGATAACTTTTTAATTCTAGTTCAATTTAACATAAACTTAATATGTGTAAAGATTATATGTAAAGTAATTTTAGCGATTAAAATTTCAATAGTTCCAATGTTTCACTTAGCAAACTTATCTCAACTTCAGCATAAAATCTAATATTATCAATGGATATAAGACATTTCAAAACAAATCTATACTAAAAGCTGATCCGATTATATTTATGTGCTGAGTTTTTGTATAGCAAGTAAATATGAGTCATATGCTTGAATGCTATTACGAGTTCACTTTACTCGGAAAACGGAACGAAGGTCAAAGATACAATGACACGACAGGCTATTCTAATTCGTTTGTCCCGCACCCTGCTAATTAGATCAAGAAGTCTTGATAAGGCGTAGAGAATGTATCCTACAAGCACCTGGAAAATATGAGGTGTTTAAGCACACAAATCAAGCTTATTTATACAATGATAGAAACACCCTTGGGAGAGCCACAAAATAGCATACTAAAATAATACATCGACTAGTGACAGTCAAGGATTTCCCGAGGGAGAAATGTAAGCAGAAGGTTGACTAAGCATCTCTAGCGCGAAAATATGGAAATTGAAAATTTCAGAATAAAGTTACAAAGTTGGGACCTTTCTAAATGCGTTCCGGGAATCTAACGTCCCCAACAATGAGTTATAAAATTTGAAAAAGAATGAATATGTTTGCCTTTTACGTTATTGTTGATTAAAATTCAGTGAGTAGATTTATTCTCTGTTTACCTTCCGAGAGATGTTAATCATTTTATTTATTATAAGACTAATAATTACAATTGAAAAAATTCCGATTATCGTTGTGTGTGTACACTGCGAAAAGCCAAATAAACAGTTGTGTTGTTAAACATTGAAAATAATAATTTTGTCCAAAATCAACCTTGGGTGATACAGTCAAGGTGGATAATAATAATATCTAATTATTTGTTAATTAGCAGTTGCCAATGTGTGAGTAATACATCCCACCTACTCATGCTATTCAGTACTTTTGCTATGTGCGCTAAAACCTTTTTGAAGTATTTTGATCCTTTCGAAATTAATCTTTTGTCCTGCTTCTAATAAATGTGGTACTGCTATATCTATTATTAAGCTTCCCGAAGTTTATTGAGGAAACAACAGGGAGGTATGTTAGACATTTTTTGTTTCCTCTTAATGGTACAATCAGTTACCTAGAAGTTCCTCCTAAATGTTCTGAAAGCGCCGAGGGTGTGGAGAGTCCGCTTTCCATTTCGGAGCTCTTTCATATGTCCATGCTTATAGTCACTGTCACCTCGTGGATAAGTTGTCTACGAAATGAAGAGGGAGAAAAGCTAATTTCCATCGTTTAAACCGGTTTGGTGGGTGCGGAGGATTCATCAAGGGGATTTGGGAAACCTGGTTGCAAACCAATAGTGCATGGGGGCTCTAGGAAACTAAAGAAACTTACTGTTTGTCACCTGCTTCCTTGGGACTGGATCTCCCGAATTCTCTCTGCAGCCTTTTAGGTTAGACCTCTTGGTCAAAGGTTCGGAGAGCGACCCTCTAAGAAGACCACCTATTTCAGTTCGGGCACCTGGGAAGTATCCCAGCCCACTCACGAATTTATTAATTTTGATGTACCTCTTTCACCAATTTTTAAGTTTGAATAAAATAAGAAATTCTCCTACGTATGACTCATTACATTCCTGACGCCTGACTTCACAGATACTGTCTAGTTGGTGACCTGTCCGTAGATTTAACTAATGCCAGTTTTGTAATATCAATAGCACGGAAATGAACTCCTATATTATACTGAATTAGAATCATCTTCAAGCTATATTTTACGGTGTAGGAATAGGTTGGAAGAAAGTTAGTTGCGGCCAATCTAAAACATGGCAGAAATGCATTAAGTCACTGACAAATGGGCTGACTCATGTCGGTAGGTGTCGACTACTTGGTTGGGGTCCGCGAGATGTTAGTAATCGATGGTTATAGACCCTGAATGACATGGCTCAATACCGTTTGCAACGGTTCAGGTGCATTGATTCTTTGTGTTTTCTCAAATCCTAAACTTTTTAATTCTTCATCACTTTATCCTTATCTTTTTAAGTCTATTTCACTAGATTCTACTTCTTGAATAATATCTTCTAATCTTAACCTCTCCGACTACTGCTAATACCTTTACTACCTCTACTACTATTGGATTTGAATTGACAATTACATCTCTGTGCTAATGTGGTATCGCGACATGAACTGATGTACTTACATACGAAGTTCTACATTGCTATTGATTAATTGGTTGAATGAATGAATTAGAATCCCTTTGATTTCCTCCGATTTTTCCTTAAGGTAAACTGATGACTGTGGTATTCTTCTATTCTATGTGGCCGTGAACAGTCCAGCTGAAGTCAGCAATGATTTTTGTTTCAAGACATGATGACTGTTTTTAATGAACCGAAATTCAAATTACTTGAACTGTAATCGAGTGATTACTATTAGCTTTCATTTAGATAAATAGAATGAAGTGCTTATTATATGCCACAATCTGTATAAGTAAACTGAATAAATTAGTTTATACAAATGCGTTGATATGTTATAAGCTACCCAATTATTCTCATTTCGTTGTGATTATTCACATGAACAACCAACAAGCAATTTAGGTATTCAGAAAAATTATTAAAATAAATGAATGGTGGTTAATATCTGACTAGATGAAATGTGATTTT